TAAAGTATTTTCGTGCCAAATTTCGTGAAATTCTAGTGAGTGGTTCTCGAGAAATAGGCGTATTTCCGAGAGTGCAATTTTCCATTCAATCGCAATTTTTTGACTTACTACGCATGCGCTGCATTTAAGCGGGTTCTTTCGGTAACAAAGAAAAAGCTGAGAATTGCTGGGTTCTTTGCATCGTTACCTCTTCTAACATATCTTTGTGATAAAAGACTAAAGCCATCAATACACTGCGTTCAATTATAGAGAAAAATAGCACAGATAGTGCGAGTGTTGAGTAAATAAAATGATCGCTCTATTGACGGCATGTTTGTTTTTTCCAATCCTTGTGCACGCGCTAAATTGTATCAGCAAAAGCGCGCGCGAAAACTGTGTTCGGCCACCTTAAGGTCTCTATTCAGACTCATCGCAGCTGTGAAAGTCTGCACTCTGGTTAGCCTGAATATCACTCCGGTTAGACCGGATTTCGGCTCCGGTTAGCCTAAATATCACCCAGGTTAGCCTGAATAACACTAATAACGTTCTGGTTAGCCTGTTTACGGTTAGCTTTCAATGATGGAAACTGTAACACGATTCAGTTAAAAAGTCTGTAGTCTGCGGTTTGCATTTCATCCCTGGTCTGCAGTCTGTAGACCCTCTGTAGTCTGCAGTCCACAGTGTGTATTTTACACTGACGGCTGTTTTAAGGTTGCTAAGTGTTTAAGCACTTTTAAAATTTAATTCTAATACGTGTAATTGTTACATAGAATTATTTGAGAAATTTCTTTGTATATCGGAAGCCAGTAAATAATGTTTTTGAAACTAACTTGAGTTTCAATTTAGTGTGAGATGGTGCGGATAAATAGATTTGCCTTTCAAGGTAGGGTCATTTGTAATGGCTGCGAATCGGACTAACGGAAAGATGAAAATTCCCTTCTCTCTCTCTCTCTACAAGGAGTTTTTTTCCTCTCGCTGAGATGAAGTCTTACAATCTTATACTTTTTTCATCAAAAAAACTATATTAACAAGAAAATAAACTTGAAGCATATCTTAAAACACAGGATCTTAAGAAGTATACGGGATAAATTTGTCATAAGCTCCACTACACAGAAAACAATTCTCGATTTCAAAAAACGATTTGGTCGAAAAATCAACGATTTGATGGAACTGAAGAGCGACAAAATCGAGGACCGCAATCCGACTCAGCAGTATAGATAGATAGTATTCAGTTTTGGTAGTTGTGATCCGAATGTCATTATTCCTTTTACGTGCTGCCCTTTTATGAAGCAATGACATTGACGTTACTGTATACATGTGTATCATTAAAAGTGAACGCAGGTTTACAAGTCATTTAGTTTGTAAATCGTCGCTTTTTCAGTAAACCTTTATTAAAGATCGTTGTTTCATCCATAACGATCGTCACGATATTCGATTTTCGTCTCATGGGGGTTTCAAGATACATAGGCGCGGCAGGCTAGCGAGACCCTGTTAGGGTCTTAGGATATATGGGTTCTTAACCAAGCATGAGGTCAAGATAAGATAAGATGGTTGGG